CACACACACACACACACACACACACACACACACACACACACACACACACACACACACACACACACACACACACACACACAGTCATACAGAAGAGAAGGTGTCGGGCACAAAATGAATTAGCGCACTGTAATTAATAGCTTAATCAATAGAATCATGCACAAATCAAGTAAACAAGGCACTCGATGAGTCAGATTAGTGATTTGACAACTCATTATGAACAACCAATTAATCAAACACACACGCACACAAACACACATTCACTTACCTTCTAAATGCTCATATTTCAAAAACAAAAAAAAGTGTATATTATAATAACCAATATCTTTGTTGCTCTCCGTGATCTTGAGAGATAATGCACTCCCAGGCTTGATGTCTTTTTAGCTTGTATGCATGGAGAAAACATGTTATTATTCCATTAGCTTTTATAACACAGTTAGGTCACATTACTGTATATCTACTGTATGTATTTCATTTTTTTACCACCTATGTTAATGTCCCTCCCTATCTCTCTTTTGCTCTTCATCACCATCTCTCTCTCTGTTTCAGTTCAATGAGACTGGAAGGGGAAGCGAGTGTAGCCAGGCCATTATGTTGGTGACAGATGGGGCAGTGGACACATATGATGCCATCTTTGCCAAGTACAACTGGCCAGACAGAAAGGTAATGTATTAAACACACACACACACACACACACACACACACACACACACACACACACACACACACACACACACGCACACGCACACGCACACGCACACACACACCACATTCTTGTACAATTGGGTCCACTACTAAAATAAAGTGAGATCAGCTTAGTTCAATGTCTTATTACCTCTTGTTCACAACTTCATTAACCTCTAACCTGTTCTTCCAATGGAGAGCAGTGTACTTATGCCCTCCTGTGGCTATGAATTACTTTTTAAACTGTGAGGGCTGTCTGTCAGAAATGTGGAATTAGAAAGTACATCAATTTGACACAATTTAAAGGGATACCAAGGGTAAAAGTATGTACGGGGTAAAGGTTTACATGGTTGTCACATTGATAACACATTCTTAAAAAGTATTCTAACTACATCAGAAATACAGTTTCTAGAGAGATATTACGCATTAAATCTGACCAAAAGGATTGAGAGAAAGGCTAGCAGGATCAGTGTTTACCATTGTTTTGGTCACAATTCAGGGCATGTTTTTGACAAGTATTAGTATTTGCCTCAGTTGTTCTACAAAGTTTTAAAAGCAGAAGATATTGAGCTAACCCAGTATGGGGTTCTTTCAGAGACCTTTAAGACAGAGTTAAATATGGCCCTGTCTCTGAGGACTGAGCTTTCTCTCCGCTGTCCTGCAAGGTAATTGGGGTGCTCTTCTGACAGGCCATTGCATGAAATGGTGGGAGAGCGAGTCAGGAGATGGAGGGAAGAAAAAGGGTTATTCTTAGGTCATTCTCCATTTGTAAAAGAAAGCCTACGGGGTCTTCACCGTTAATAGGTTGAGGATGGAAGTGCCATGCTTAAGGCAATGGTAGATGAACACACGCAAAACACACATTGTGTATACATGCATATGAACTTCCATTGTCCATTGTCTGATGTCACATTATTATTTCATTGTAATCTTCATTCTGTTAGCGTATATGTTTTTGCATTTATATGGGTGCTGATGTGTTACCATAAAGGCTGCATTTGTTTTGTCATGTGTGTGCGTATGCTGTCGAAAATGCTTGCACCCCCCTCCAACCTCACTCCCGCCTCAAGGCTGAACAGCAGTGAGTGGAGAAGGGACAAGGCTGCTAGATAGTTCCATTTAGAAGAAGCCCCGCTGATAATGGAAGTCTTCGGTCTCTGTCACTCTCTCCAGTCGCTCTCTCTCCCCACTGCTGGTTTTTAATGGCTTTCTCCCAAACACCCTTATAGCCTCACCACTGTATAGCATCACACTGAGAATATAGGCATTCTTTGCGAAAACTGTTATTGAATGTCTGCATGCAGATGGCATTTATTCAAAAGACGAAACAAAAGATCATAAAGAAAGTGTTTCAGGGAAAAATAATGTATTCTGAAAAAGAAACACTGGAGAACTTGAAATATATTACGTAATGAGATTATTTTTCATGTTACACCAGTGATTGTTTTCAGAGAGATCAGATAACCGCCTTTAGTATATAAATACTGTTGCTATAATGTATATTTATTTTGCTCTCCAAACCCTTTATTTTATTTAAACAAATTAGTGACTCTGTCTTTTAGCTAACTTAAAACGTGTGTGTGTTACTGATCCAAATAACTAAGTTAAAACAAAGGATACAAGTATCAGACATACATACAACCTAATGCTGACATAAAGCTTACACATTTTAGATGGATTTGTGTTTAGTCTTCATTTTATTATATTATACGTTTTGCTTGAATGTTTTCATGTCAGATGAAAGCTGGTCTCACTTGGTCACACTTTATATTTCAGGTTTTCGTTTTGCAGAACAGTACAGAATATTTAAGCTGAATTGAAGAAAAAAAACAGTGCTACAAACAGGCAGAGAATATTATTTTTAAGAGCACTGATTACAGAACTTATGGGTGACCCAAAGGCTATTTTAATATTATGCAATGCATCTACCTTTGACTGAAAAGGGAGTTGTCCAAATCTTAAAAGGATAAAAAATACCCAGCTACAGTGCCTTGCAGTTAAGATCAGGAACAAAGTACATTTAAGTGGACATTTGACAGAGCAGCACCCTCATGCAGGCGCTACCGCAGCATCTGGACTAAAACCACCAGACTCAGGGACAGTTTCATCCCACAGGCAATAAGACTGTTAAACACCTGAACTTGAAACAACATCCATAATATTAATCTGGCTGCTACTTTAAAATTATTTATCTATTTACCTAATATAGCATTCCAATAACTTGCATATAGACTCTTATTGCACTATTTCACTTTTTTAAAACAATTTTTCTTTTTGTATTTACTATTTACTTGCACTATATTTTCCTGTTTATCTGTGTTCTGTGTTGCACTGCTGGAGAAGCCTGTGACCTAAGATTTTCATCAGGATAACTACACTGTAGCTATGTTCGTATGACTAAATAAAGAACCTTGATATTGACCTCCCTCAAAAAGGCAATAATAAATGGCGGTAATTTGGGAGTCCCAGATCTTTTACATGTCCTAGTAATATTATAGAAACACCTGGACAGCATTGATTAGAACAATATTGGTGGTCTCCATTTCCTGGAGCACCACATTTCTTTAGCTCAGGAGCGTAGCCTAGCAAAGTTTGCGAGACAAATTCCATAAAAATAATGTGTGGGCAGCTTTGCTTTTATAAAACATTTTTGGGAGATATAGCAAGACATCTTTTTTGGGCTGTAATGAGTCACATGCATTTTAGATGGGCGCCATTGCACCCAAATCCCTGCACAGGCCAGCACTGATTGAGGGGACTTGTTTTGTATCCATAAACACAACTGGGGGCCTTCTTACTGAGGCAAGGGGAAGCTAACCCTGCCAACCTTTGAAAGATGCTCCATAGTGTGTGCTTTTACCAGCATGGACTGACCTTGAAGGTGATGGACAGTTACTGTAAGAAAAATGTTGGCTATGTGTACTTACCTCTGCCTTAGAGATTGATATGGTGGGCTGGAAAACAACCTTGCCCATACCTGCTGGTGCACATTATTTTGTGCACTGCCCATATTTTGCCGACATTGTTGCTTTTGAACCAATAATGAAGGGCTAACCATAACCATAGAGACATTAGACTTGGTGAAAGGCAAAGTATGTCCTTTAATAATAATAATACTGTAGAGTGGAAGAAAAAAAACAATGCTACAAACAGGCAGAGAATATTATTTTTAAGAGCACTGATTACAGAACTGGGTGACCAAAAGGCTATTTTAATATTATGCAATGCATCTACCTTTGACTGAAAAGAGAGTTGTCCACATCTTAAAAGGATAACAAATACCCAGCTACAGTGCCTTGCAGTTAAGATCAGGAACAAAGTAAATGGAAATGTACTGGACAATACTGTACATGTCTTACACACAGCTCAAACTGCTCTAATAAAATCAGTCTAAAAATATTAGATTGATTTTCAGATTAAAATATTATTATATTACAAACTAAGAGCCTGATTAAAATATGATTAATTCTTGAATCTTTGCCAAGACTGATAAAGTTGGACATATTTAATAATTTCATGGATCACCTGCTTTTAGCAATAGTAGAACAAAAGCAGACTTTAAGATAAGAAGTTAATTAAAACCAAAACACCAATTTAAAAGATGTGTGACATTCAGCTGCTATTTTAAGAAAAGTATTTTTCAGGGTAATTTCATGAAGTTCTATAGCTTGAATGCCTTGTACGTACCACTGTGGTAAACAACATACAACAACATATATTTCTCTAAATCAATATCTATAAAATCCAACACTTTAATCCAAGAATAATTCATAAAGTGCTTCGGCTCATCCATCAGACAGTGCCTATATATAAACTAAACAATACCCTTTCAGGAATCAGCCCTAGATTGTTGCGTTTTGCATTAGACCATTAACATAAGAGCAATTAGCCACGATCACAATGTTTTAAAATATACATTTAACACACAGTTACGGATATTCATTCATTCATGGTGTCAAAAGACACCTAACACAAGTACTTACAGTCTTAATACATTTGTCAACGTTTTTGCGAATGTTTTCACTGGAGAATATATTATTAACTTATTGGGTAAAGTGCTGATTACATAATGTAGGAGCATGAAAAAAAATATTTTTTAGGGTGTCTGTGTATGCATGGATACACAGATGTGTGCGTCGATGCATTTTTATTCCAGCCTATGTAAAATGTGTGCAGTCAAGTAGGATGAAGATTGCATGCTGCGGCTCCAGCCCCAACTAGATTTTAACTTCAGCTTCCTTAACTCAGCTGTAAACCTCGTTCATATTTAATAACCTGCCGGCTGTAGTTTGATCTCTGTCTTGGCTAACAGTGAAGGAAAACATATAACTATAAACAGAAGATCACACTGATACACCATTTACCCGAAGCCATGTTGTGCTTTTCTGTCACTCTGGCAATGAAGTTATTATGAAAAGAGAATGATTCTGATCTAGAATCTAGATAACGCGGGTTGCTTTAAGATGACAACTGTACTTATTCACAGTCAAACCTTTTTTCAGTTGATAATAGAACACAACTGGAGAATGCAATTCCTGAAGAAATTGCTAGTGGGAATGCTTTATGCTGAAAATCTGACGCTAAACTGTTGAAATGTAATGTGTAAGAAAAAAAGTGAATAATTTAGATTGAAATGATACATGAACACTGGGGGCTTGAATGTGTGATGAGAGAAGAAAATAAAGTGAAAAGGCTTGGAATAGCAGCAGAATATTTGAACCGCAAACTTCTGAACTAACTTGATGGCGAATGATCTGTCGCCATGGCAACGGCATTTGATGACACCTCATAATACGCTTAAATGCGTTGATGGCTGCATTGTTATCAAACCTGTGAAGTTTTGGGCTGTTTGGAGTATTTTCACTGAAGTTATGAGAAAACCGTGTTTCAAGGCGAGCATTGTGTTGCCATGGCAACGGCATTTGAAGAAATCTCAAAACTGTCCCGTAGATGTCTTCACGGCTGGACTGTTAGCACACTTGTGAAGTTTGAGCACTTTTTGAACATTTGCATAGGAGTTATAGCGACATCATGTTTTATGGCGAGGGATGCGTTTCCATGGAAACGGCATATGGTGAGATCTCAAATTTTGCGTAGAGCTGTTGAGGCATGGACCAGTGATATACAAGTGAAGATTGGGGGACGATTGGTGTCCATTGGACTTATAGCGACATCATGTTTTATGGCGAGGGATGCGTGTCAAGGAAGTTGAGTATCTGAAGTGTAATTTTTGTGTACTTTCGGGTTAATAATGCTGTTGAGGCATGGACCGGTGATATACAAGTGAAGATTGGGGGGACGATTGGAC